ACTACGTCATCGACACGTGACTCACACGAGATTCCGTCATTTTCAGGACTGATTCAATTACCCAATGTTCTCCAATGGGAATATGATTGGCTGATCGAGAGAACACGGCTCTTTACATTCCAGTCAATCAGTAGCACAGTATAATCGATTATTTTACGGTCAATTTACACATTTTGATTATATTTGACATTGAAACGGCTTCTAACATTTCCACCTCCAAGAACATGCATGGAGTCACATTATCGAGGTTTCAATACGTTGCTCCATAAAATTTTGTATGTCAACAGCTATTGATGTATTACTGCATCAGATGTTCTGCAGATTTGGGAAAATATGGTTTCTGTAAACAGTTATAATAGTCAAGTGCTTGTAGAAAATTATGATGCATGTATTTAACAGCGGTGTCACTGGAATACAAGAATTAAAAATTATGATATTAATAACGAAGCGAAAACGAAAAAAAACAGGACCTGGACCTTGGAAGACACTAAAAAATGATGAAATACAACAGAGGAAACTAAAGGATTATCAAAGCAATCGAAAAGGCAGCCATTGGAATGGATGCGACACCAAAACAAAATGAAATACAACATAACTTAAGGAACATCATATCAATCGTTAAGGCAGCCATCGTAACAGAGGAGACACTAAAACAAAGCGAAAGACAACATTAAAACTTAAGGAACATCAAAACAAACTAAAAGGCAGCCATTGGAACGGATGAGACACCAAAACAAAATGAAAGAAAACACAAAAAAACTTAAGGAACATTAGAACACACGAGATAAAAAAAGCAAAAACAAACACGGAAGCGAAGACATAAAAAATAGAGAAAAAAACACATAAACTAAGAAATAGATACAGAAGAAAGATATGAATATAGACGAAAATTCAGACTTGACTCGTGATTTGTCAAAGCGACATGTCATTATATCGCCCTGACGCAATACATCATATAAACTAGGTCATAAAAGATTAACGGCATAATGAAGTATTTCATCATTGCCGACAATGACACCAGTCAGAACTCTAACTCTGTGCATGTTGGCTTAAAAGAAGTATCTATGTATATCTATGGGCCTTGATTCAGGCTTAATAAACATACCCGGAATTCTGACTTAGTACAAGACTGGTAGCTGGGACGAAACACACATGAACTTATACCGATCCAAGGAAAAACTAACAAAACAACAGCTTGGTAGAAAGGCTGTGTCCATACATATCAAGGGAACATAGACACAGGAGGACTCTAACTAAAACTTTTGTGACCGTTCCCACAAATATCACCCTGTGATTACACTTGATCTCACGGCCCGGTAACATGTACGGATAACGACCGAGTCTTCAGGTACTGCTATCCCCAACCCGCAACAACTGCATTTCTAAACAGTGGGAGACACTATAAAAATGACGCAAAAGTAATTCAAGGGAATTCTAAACCAATCTTTAAGGACAAGTAAAATCTATCACAGCAGCTACCCTGCTTCAGCACCTGCCATTGTGAACACTATATCCTTATCTAGCAGGAAAATCCCGGTCAGAAAATCATGGTAGAATAAACCTACCTGTACTTTCTGTGAAAACAAGATTATGGAAAAGATGTCTTCATAAAATATAGCATATCTTCCGGCCAACACGAAAGATAGCACTGTTTCTGCTGAGAAGAGTCAAGTGAACTCATTCACTTATGTGTCATATCCGAAAATTCAGCGGTTTTCTATCTATTACACCATCGCCGATGATAGATAAAAAAAGAAAGAAAATATAGACATGTCATCAGAATCTTAATTCAAACTAGAAACCGATGAAATAAACCCAAAATATGAAAAAAAAGAAAAGATTTCCACAGAAAGCCCTGGTAAAGTGCTAGGAGAATTATACAAAGTGTTCCCGAAGAATGAGCGTCTTCTGCTTCAGCAATGTCACCCGCCATTTAAAGTTTGGTTGATTTACGAATAAAGAGGACGTGCATACATTCACAACGTTAGTGTCATTGCAGCCGGGCCTAGACAGATTTTAAAAGTTCCACACGATCATTACAACCATGTAGCGCAGCGGTGCCAACTAGTCTATTAAATGTTCCTCATCGCTCATACCGCATAGTGTACAAAGTATAAAGTTATTAGAAAGTTTTTTTCCCATAAATACGTACACTCCTTGACTGAACAGAATGATCAGGGAGGTTGGAATGTTGATACGAACATTGACGATGACCATTCATACGTTGTCTTAACTAGCTTTTTTACGCAGCATCCATCAAAATACACAGAGTCAATACCATAAACATCGTAGGAAGATCTGACATTTAGATATTCCAAGCTTTTACTAAAATTTTCTTTTCAGTAAGAGCACCAATAGTTTATGTCTGTAATAGGTATATCACTGGTTTGGTATTTGTTTTGTTCCACCTTCGGAAATATGGCTGATAAAACAAATCCTTTCGACTAATTCTTCATGATTTCAGTTGTGCCAAATTGTCCAAATCTTCATTATTCAAATTACCGTTATAGCTTTTGACAAAATTGGTGACGCCGCTGGAAAAGCTAACGTAATCACTCGGTGTATTGTACATATCCGTCTCGGATTCTCGCCTGTCCATCTGTTTGTGTTGCTGATGTTCGGATAAACTACGGATTATATGATAAAGTTTATTGAATTGAAACAAGAATTTTTCTATAAACCCAGCATGCAACATATGTTACTTTGAAATAAAAGTACTCCCTCTTGAATCGCAAATGTGTTATATATTACAAGCATCGATACCACATTTCATCAGCCAGTGCGTGCTAATGTAGAAAAAAGGAAGTACATCGGCTTGAACGCGCCGACTTCATCGAGCTTGTATGTATTTGTCAACAACAAATATATGTTTCCTTCTATGATCACACGTGGATATAATCCTCGTGTAGAGTTTAACAATCGTGCAGCATGAAATACTGATAAATCATTAATTTTCGTGGAAAGGTTTTTGTTCATATTTTAGTCCAAGTACCAGTAGATTTCGGTAAGATTTATCCACGAAAAAGTGCCAATGAAAAGATATGGATTTTTTTTTCAAAACCACGAAATATGATTCTAACGGAAATATATGATTACATGGTAATTAAACGCTACTTATCTCTCAATCAGAACTGAGAGAAAAATGAGTTTTACGTTGACTTGAAACACTTACGCTGATATCATTAATTATCGTGGTGCATTCATTTCCGTTGACTTCGTGAGCACTCTTAATCTATGGATGCATATGTCCACGAACTGTTGAAAGATAAAATCAAGTGTCCGCGAAAAAAAAAGAAAAATTGTAAATTAAATCCCACGGAAATATATGACTTAACAGTAATTACGATAAACATGATTACAGTCACCAATAATCAGCTCTCAAACACTGTACAATGTTTATGCTATCAATATATAAATAAGGAGTTTTGGTGTTTTTACATTTAACATATTACATATAATACGAGTTATGTTAGAAATAGAATAATGCATTCGCCTATATGATGTTGATATAATATTGAATCTATTGTAGTAGACGGAGAATTGATATGCTGCTCGGCTGAAGTTCGTGGCAATTAAAATTGAAATAGTTTAAATAGTTTTATGTTCAATTAGAAGTGTTGCCAATTCCACAGTGTTATATTTCAGATACGAAGCACTTATATATAGCAACTTGTTCCATTTGCCACCTTTGCAGAATGACTGCCTTGTTTGAAATACAATAAACGAGAGGTTAACTGTGTGTTTCTTCGTTCATCGGATGTCATCTGTCAGGAATGTATTTTCTGTCCAATTAAATTTTCAAAGGATGTTGTCTCTGACACCTTTTGTTTGGAGCATAAAATCAAACCTCCATATGAAGCTAAATCAAATAACGGCGTATTATCCTCCTTTATTATCTCATCGTTGCAGAAATTGGCACATGGCTCATTAGCAACGGAGCCGGAATTCCATCGAAACACTTGCAGTGTAAGGACACATCTGTTACTCATAGGCTTTCGTCTGTAAATCACTCAAACGACTTCTTCGATCGAATTTGTTTCATTCCCCATAAAGACTACGGCCAAATGAACTTTTCTGACGATTTACACCGTAATCCAATTTGTTTTGTTTCAGATTTTTAGAAGAAATTTTGGAGAGACATTGAGTACTAATTACCAGCATGGCTTCCATAAGAGAGTGAAGCACTTCCGTGATCTTCTCTTTTCCATTTTCTCAATTGTTGTTTCAAAGAAAAAAGCAAATCAGGATATTTTTCCTCTCTAAACCTGTTTGCGTTAAACAGTAACGGATCGTGAATAAAATGATTAATTGAACAATATCGCATCTAAATTATCAATTTTTAAGTCCTTGCTTCAAAAATGACAGATCTCTATTCCCTTACATCTGGACAGAGCTATTGAATCCTGCAATAGTTGTACATTGCTATTCTCACAGTCTAGTGCGAGTTTATGAAATGTGGGACTCATCAGCATTATATGATTATAAGATTGACACCTTATCATACAGAGTTTTTGAACAAAGGATTTATCCCAAATACGCCGCAATTTTGGTAATATGTTTTCATATCAGTCAAGTTAAGTACATAGGTAATAGGTTTTGAAGTGTTTTATGAGTACATAGTTTAGAGAGGGAAAATGAATTCAAGGTAAGAGTCTTTTACAATCTTCTGGAGTAAATGTATAATCAACAAGTGACGCCATATCATATAGATTTTGAGGAACCTAAACAATCCTAGGATCTGTCTTGAATATCGTGGTTTTTTTTAAAAAAAAAAAGGACGGGTGTCGTCGATGGAGCAGAAGATTCCTACTTATCCAACACACCTAGAGTTAACCCCTTATACATTAAAAAGGCCTCTGTGTCAATTTTTCGTTTCTATATGTTTGCCCTTGTTAGGACTTGTCAGCATGTCGGTATTGTCTATTGTTCTTGTTAATGGCCACTGGGTGTTATACAGTTCAACTGAAATGGTTAAAAGATGGTTATAGTTGATATATTTCTCAGGTTACTTCTTCCGCTCTTCTAACAATATCATCCCTGAATTGTTCTTGTCTTCTAACAGTCTCCTCCCTGTGTTGTTCTTGTCTTCTAACAGTCTCCTCCCTGTGTTTTTTTTGTCTTCTAACAGTCTCCTCCCTGTGTTGTTCTTGTCTTCTAACAGTCTCCTCCCTGTGTTGTTCTTGTCTTCTAACAGTCTCCTCCCTGTGTTGTTTCTGTCTTCTAACAGTCTCCTCCCTGTGTTTTTTCTGTCTTCTAACAGTCTCCTTCCTGTGTTGTTTCTGTCTTCTAACAGTCTCCTCCCTGTGTTGTTTCTGTCTTCTAACAGTCTCCTCCCTGTGTTGTTTCTGTCTTCTAACAGTCTCCTCCCTGTGTTGTTCTTGTCTTCTAACAGTCTCCTCCCTGTGTTGTTTCTGTCTTCTAACAGTCTCCTCCCTGTGTTGTTTCTGTCTTCTAACAGTCTCCTCCCTGTGTTGTTTCTGTCTTCTAACAGTCTCCTCCCTGTGTTGTTTCTGTCTTCTAACAGTCTCCTCCCTGTGTTGTTTCTGTCTTCTAACAGTCTCCTCCCTGTGTTGTTCTTGTCTTCTAACAGTCTACTCCCTGTGTTTTTTCTGTCTTCTAACAGTCTCATCCCTGGTTTGTTTCTGTCTTCTAACAGTCTCCTCCCTGTGTTGTTCTTGTCTTCTAACAGTCTCCTCCCTGTGTTGTTCTTGTCTTCTAACAGTCTCCTCCCTGTGTTGTTCTTGTCTTCTAACAGTCTCCTCCCTGTGTTGTTTCTGTCTTCTAACAGTCTCCTCCCTGTGTTGTTTCTGTCTTCTAACAGTCTCCTCCCTGTGTTGTTTTTTTGTCTTCTAACAGTCTCCTCCCTGTGTTGTTTCTGTCTTCTAACAGTCTCCTCCCTGTGTTGTTCTTGTCTTCTAACAGTCTCCTCCCTGTGTTGTTTCTGTCTTCTAACAGTCTCCTCCCTGTGTTGTTCTTGTCTTCTAACAGTCTCCTCCCTGTGTTGTTTCTGTCTTCTAACAGTCTCCTCCCTGTGTTGTCTTCTAACAGTCTCCTCCCTGTGTTGTTTCTGTCTTCTAACAGTCTCCTCCCTGTGTTGTTTCTGTCTCCCTGTGTTGTCTAACAGTGTCTTCTAACAGTCTCCTCCCCTGTGTTGTTGTTCTTGTCTTCTAACAGTCTCCTCCCTGTGTTGTTTCTGTCTTCTAACAGTCTCCTCCCTGTGTTTTTTCTGTCTTCTAACAGTCTCCTCCCTCCCTGTGTTGTTTCTGTCTTCTAACAGTCTCCTCCCTGTGTTGTTTTTGTCTTCTAACAGTCTCCTCCCTGTGTTGTTCTTGTCTTCTAACAGTCTCCTCCCTGTGTTGTTTCTGTCTTCTAACAGTCTCCTCCCTGTGTTGTTTCTGTCTTCTAACAGTCTCCTCCCTGTGTTGTTCTTGTCTTCTAACAGTCTCCTCCCTGTGTTGTTCTTGTCTTCTAACAGTCTCCTCCCTGTGTTGTTTCTGTCTTCTAACAGTCTCCTCCCTGTGTTGTTCTTGTCTTCTAACAGTCTCCTCCCTGTGTTGTTTCTGTCTTCTAACAGTCTCCTCCCTGTGTTGTTCTTGTCTTCTAACAGTCTCCTCCCTGTGTTTTTTCTGTCTTCTAACAGTCTCCTCCCTGTGTTGTTTCTGTCTTCTAACAGTCTCCTCCCTGTGTTGTTTCTGTCTTCTAACAGTCTCCTCCCTGTGTTGTTTCTGTCTTCTAACAGTCTCCTCCCTGTGTTGTTTCTGTCTTCTAACAGTCTCCTCCCTGTGTTGTTCTTGTCTTCTAACAGTCTCCTCCCTGTGTTTTTTTCTGTCTTCTAACAGTCTCCTCCCTGTGTTGTTTCTGTCTTCTAACAGTCTCCTCCCTGTGTTGTTCTTGTCTTCTAACAGTCTCCTCCCTGTGTTGTTCTTGTCTTCTAACAGTCTCCTCCCTGTGTTGTTTCTGTCTTCTAACAGTCTCCTCCCTGTGTTGTTCTTGTCTTCTAACAGTCTCCTCCCTGTGTTGTTCTTGTCTTCTAACAGTCTCCTTCCTGTGTTGTTTCTGTCTTCTAACAGTCTCCTCCCTGTGTTGTTCTTGTCTTCTAACAGTCTCCTCCCTGTGTTGTTTCTGTCTTCTAACAGTCTCCTCCCTGTGTTGTTCTTGTCTTCTAACAGTCTCCTCCCTGTGTTGTTCTTGTCTTCTAACAGTCTCCTCCCTGTGTTGTTTCTGTCTTCTAACAGTCTCCTCCCTGTGTTGTTCTTGTCTTCTAACAGTCTCCTCCCTGTGTTGTTCTTGTCTTCTAACAGTCTCCTCCCTGTGTTGTTCTTGTCTTCTAACAGTCTCCTCCCTGTGTTGTTTCTGTCTTCGAACAGTCTCCTCCTTGTGTTGTTCTTGTCTTCTAACAGTCTCCTCCCTGTGTTGTTCTTGTCTTCTATTTTATGATTTCCCCCTTTTTTCCATTTTATTTTGTCATTTATTTTGTCAAAGCATTTCCCAGAACACGATATATATTTTTTGTATTTCTTTATCACTATTGGTTACAGTTAAGAGATGATAAGTATTCATATGCTACTGTATTTAGAATGCCATTCTGTCCCAGTAATGCTTTTCTTTGACAGTAAGTACTTCGTTGGTTGTTACTAAAGCAAAAAGTAGCCGATACGTTTTTAACATGAAGAAGTGAACTGGAGATGAATATTTCCGAGTCTTTCAAACTCTTTCTTAACAAATTGGCCTTGAGCAGACATCTTTGAATGTGGGAATTCAATAGCGTATATCTGGCAGGTAAACATGTACAATGTTCTCGTGTGTTATTCAGATCAGTTGTTGTATGGTCATTAACATAAAATTGGTATCAATATGTAAGTATTTGATTTTAATTCTATGAATACTAATTAATTATATCATTTTATACATATCACAAAGTAAAAAAGAACTTCTTCCAACCCTTCTCATCATACAGTCTGCTTAATCATTATCATCATTCACATTATAGGCTTGTTTACAGTTTATAGCCATTTATAAATAAAAATCCACCCTTGTTACACAAAACCCGTATCCCTCAACACATCACCCACACACAACTTGAACATGAAATTTGATTTTTCTGTTCCCATTCATAATGCTCACCAGACCCATATATACAACCCCTTGCCACTTCACCACTTCAAATTATGTCTAAAGCAGGTTGCTAAAGAAATTTAATTGTAGTTACCAAAGAAACTCAAATGAATTTACAATGAACAGTATCATAAGCCATTTATAAAGCGTGTTTGCGCCTGGTCTTTACAAGTGGATATTTTCCGACCCAAACGAATGTGTTTTGGGCCATGGAGACACATGAATAACAACGTTTTATTCATTAAACGGACCGAGGAACAAAAATTTACTTTGATAAATACGAAATTCTTCCAAGTCGCCTGCACAAATCGAAACTAGTGGCTAAACTGGACTCAATATCGATAATGTTAAACAATGCTTCAACAAGGCAAGTAAACCAGCCTTGCAGAGCGACAACATTAAATTCGAATATTTCCAGTCTTAATGACAGCGGAAAATGAACGGCATTAAAAGACAAACTTGTTCATATTTATCACAATTGATCACATGACCACAAAATACATTAATTTTTCCCTCCTCCTCGTTCTAATCCTCCTCTTTTTACATTTAATTGCATGCTATTGATCTTTGAATGTTTTTGTCAGTGTCGAGGCTGACAAGATGACATGCTTTCTGTTGGGTTCAGTTTACGACTTCGCCACTAATGGGCTCTCTGTTTATAGTGAGCTAGAAGGTTTAAATTCACAGTAACCGACGGTTTCCTATGCATTTCAATGTTTTCCAATTAAATAGTTTCAATTGCTAATACTTGAAACGGCGTTGTACTTTGACGTGAAAATAAATAAAGGTCCCATTATCATTTAAGAAATACTACCAGTACCTTAAAGTCCGCCTCGTTCCCTTCATATCCTTATTCACTTAGGGCTTCGTTCTGGACTCTGAAAAAGAAGAAGTGAAAGAAAGATCTTATAAGCGGTCAAGTGTTAATATTCCCATAGATATGAATAGATCTATAGAAATACCTGTAAATAAATGTATGTTCTGGGAGACATTTTCCATAGCCTCGTTATGAAAGATATATAACTGTATGTTCTGGGAGACACCTTCCACAGCCTCGTTATGAGAGATATATAACTGTATGTTCTGGGAGACACCTTCCACAGCCTCGTTATGAGAGATATATAACTGTATGTTCTGGGAGACACCTTCTACAGCCTCGTTATGAGAGATATATAACTGTAGTTTCTGGGAGACACCTTCCACAGCCTCGTTATGAGATATATATAACTGTAGTTTCTGGGAGACACCTTCCACAGCCTCGTTATGAGATATATATAACTGTAGTTTCTGGGAGACACCTTCCTCAGTCTCGTTATGAGATATATATAACTGTAGTTTCTGGAAGACACCTTCCACAGCCTCGTTATGAGATATATATAACTGTATGTTCTGGCAGACACCTTCCACAGCCTCGTTATGATAGATATATAACTGTAGTTTCTGGGAGACACCTTCCACAGCCTCGTTATGAAAGATATATAACTGTATGTTCTGGGAGACACCTTCCACAGCCTCGTTATGAAAGATTTATAACTGTATGTTCTGGGAGACACCTTCCTTAGTCTCGGTAAGAAAGATATATAACTGTATGTTCTGGGAGACACCTTCCACAGCCTCGTTATGAAAGATTTATAACTGTATGTTCTGGGAGACACCTTCCTTAGTCTCGGTAAGAAAGATATATAACTGTATGTTCTGGGAGACACCTTCCACAGCCTCGTTATGATAGATATATAACTGTAGTTTCTGGGAGACACCTTCCACAGCCTCGTTATGAAAAATATATAACTGTATGTTCTGGTAGACACCTTCCACAGCCTCGTTGTGATAGATATACAACAGTATCTTTTGTATGTAGGCCTATGGTATAATCGTGTGGTGTCGTGCGAGTTGAATACTTTTAAATGTCCAATAAATAATAATATATAATAGATATATAACTGTAGTTTCTGGGAGACACCTTCCACAGCCTCGTTATGAAAGATATATAACTGTATGTTTTGTATGTATGGTATAATCGTGTGGTGTCGTGCGAGTTGAATACTTTTAAATGTCCAATAAAAACCAACAATATCGCTCCATGATCCTGATTTAATCTCAAATTCGATCACATTTAAATGACCAATCAAGGCGACCAATAAACTTTCCCACAGTGTTATCAAACTGCATTTCTTGAAACTCTGTGTTGTCAGTTTACATTCAGCTGTCTACATAGAAATGTCGATATTTAGAACAAGCCCTAGAAAATGAAATTAACCGCGATAAGTTATCACCGTGTGTTGGAGAAGCAGTATGTTACTTAGTAGAAATGGAAAATTCATGACAGGGAAATGGGACATTATTATTATGGGCTTATTGAAAAGCTAACCCAGTTTGTCGTGTCGAGGTTAGAGACTGCCGTAGAAGAAATGACGGATATTGTCCATTGTTTAATTATCAAATTACAAGACCTAATATACCTATATATAGGAGGAGATAAATGTGGAGTCCAATAGAGATGTATTGAATTGAAATCCCATCGAAGGTTGTGAATGAAAATTTCAGAAAATGTAAAAAAAAAACAAAAAAAAAACCTAACAAACAAAAACAAAAAGTAAACAACACTTTTCGTTATTTTAGAATGCATTAAACATATCTTAATATGTAATTCTGTTCCCAGGTTTGAAATTTAAAAGGTCCCCAATGCCTGTTAATTTTATTTTTAGCGTTTACGATTTTGAGTTCTTTGTATGTCAGAGCATTTCAGTACTCTTTATTTGAGATGCAATCAACAGTTTATGATAATACATGTAACAAAGTTGAACAAAGTTTGTTTAATTTTTTGTTTGTTGTGAATATAAGGTCTTGTCTGTGTTTGGTAAGAGAGGTGACCAAGGAAGTGAATGATAATTGCATGCTTGCAATATATAGCATCCCATATCAAATATGCGTTTACCTGCTAGACACAGACAATGAAGATTTGTGATAGGGTCATGTTGTCCAGTCAACGGTATACAAGGAATGAACTCCATCATAAAGTTATTTCGTTGAGTTGATTGCGTCGAAAGTCACTTCAGTGTGACGTAAAGGAATGATATATTTAGCGGTTCTCCTATTCACTTTCACTTGTTGAAGTTTTCGTAGCTGCACCCAAGGACATACTGCAATACTATGTAAACGCTTAACGGTGCGTTTTCCTATATATGATTGGCCTGTTTTTGACCTTTGCAGTATTAAACTTTAGCGTCAATACAAAGTGAATAAGAAACTGTGAAGCGAACAACATTAAACGAACGATAATATGAACATTCATATATTTCAAAGTTGAATAGATGAAGACATAACTAGACATATTCATACTGAAAAAGAAAAATCAAGAAAATACCAACGCGACAACATAATTCAAACTCAAAAACTCTTAAAACTAGGGTAAAATATGAACTAAAGAAAGATTTACACGAAGACTCCTGGAAAAGTATAGGGAGAATAACAGCAGAGCCTGTATTCACGAAACCGTTCTCATGCTCAAACTCAACTTTTGTGCTCATGCTCAAAGTCTGTGTTCCATTGAGAACGTACTCAAAATTCGTATTCATCAAACTTTGTGAGAACGTGCTCTGCTGAGCACGGTAACTAAGAGAACTTATATTTGGAGATTATTTTGTATGTCGCGCGGTTTTTTGCGTACGCGCACCTGTATTCTAGCAGACGACATAATGATGGCCACCGAGAAGAAGAAAGTGCAGTGGAGTACAGCGAAAGAAGCCTTGATCCAAGCAGTACATGCCAATGAGGACATACTGTTTGGATCAATGACTGGTACTGGGGCCATTACACTAGGCGTTAAAAGGCGAAAAACATCACTGATATGCTAAATTCGTAAGTATAAGAAATTCATGTAAATACTTGAAACGCCACATCTACCCTCATAAGATATTCCGAAAAAGTAAGCGTCTTCTGCTTCATCGACGACACCCGCCAGGTAAACATTATTCAATCCAAGTAAGCAATGTGTCGTCCCGAGTCAAATGATAACAAGGTTTACAACAACGGAACCAACAGGCAAATCAACGAGCATCAAACACGTCCAGCTTCATATAGTCTCTATAACATATAGATTGATTATAAACTTAAAGCTTGTCATTAAACTTCATATAAAAAATTCTGATTGACTGTAATACCATAGAAATTATTTCTTATATGACAACTGTCTACGCAGTCCTAAAATGTGTTTTACATTTAAGTGTTCATAGCATTATACATCAAGGCAGTTAATTAAAATGCCTTAATTAACTAAAACACGTAAAACATTTATGATCCACGGAGAATGAAAACAACGTCACGACACCTTTCTATCTGGTCACGACTCCATTCACTAATTATAGCTTTGAAATCAGATAACTTGCTTTCTTAACAATTGTGTAAATTTCACCATTAAATTTCATTTAATGTTTTTCGTAATAAAGTTTTGGTGTTGTCTCCTTTTTTGTCATTCTTGTTTTAATATTAAATCTTTTGCTATTCTTCCTTTCCTCTTCTTCATCATCATCATCATCATCATCATCATCATCATCATCATCATCATCATCATCATCATCATCATCATCATCTTCTTCTTCTTCTTCTTCTTCTTCTTCTTCTTCTTCTT